ATTTTTAGGGGAAATAAAATAAAATTATAGTTTAAAAAACAAAAACCTCCCTAATATAATTGCCATTCGTGCTGTCATCAGGTATGTAACCTGAGAATAGAAATCGCTGCATCTTTTAGGCGCATCAATATTACATAGTTACATCCCGAGCTAATAAAAGGAAGGCAAAAAAGGAAGGTAATAAAAAAATGAGGTTGTTCACGCTTGCCTGGTTATCTGGATAAAAATTATTATTGTGTAGTGTATTTTATTGTTGTAAACTGAATAAAAAATATAACCACATAACCACATAAGCTAACAACCTCAGTATGTTTACAAAACTTTATTTTAATTTTACTTTCCAAATTTAGTAGATATTTTTTAGTATCTTTCGCAATGCAGTCACTTGATTTACATATACATGTGAGCCATAATATACATTCATACATAAATATACATTCATGCATACATATGTATGCATGTTTAAACATGAATTTTTGCATGTACAACTACAATACTTGCTTTGTTTTCTCTCTTGTTTGCCAAGTGCTGTCTTTCTCGCCTTTTTGCCACTTTCCCTAATCGGCTTAACACGCGTGGTCGACTGCATAACTGCGAATTTTCTGTGGGCTTAAGCAGAAAAGTACCTACCGATATTTTGAAGTGGACATTTGAATGCCAAGTAGAGCTTAAGAGTATTATTTATGAGGTATTTGGAGAATTGCAACCAATGTTCATATAAGAGCCTTAAGTTTGAAATAAAAAAAAATACTGAGGATTGGATGTTTTAAAGAATTTTCTATCAAAAGAAAAATGGTATAAGAGTGGCAGAAAGCCCATATTTTGAAACGTCGGAAATTTCAAATTGCGTAATACATTTTAAGGTTTTTTTTCTAAAAAAAATTGAGCCAGTGCATGAGGTGCATGAGGTCAGTTGGTTTTAAAATGGTTTTAAGACCAGATATAGCTCCTGCAAAGATGAAGATAGAAATCTGGTAACAGACGGCCAGAGTGCACTTGATTTTTGGATGGAAAGCCTTTCAATGCTTTTGAATGACGAAACAGGTGGCGCGTTTGATGAAAAGGAACCCAGAATAATGTATAGTGACGAAACTTTCGGCCTACCAAGACATCAACTCTAACAAGCCGGCGGCGAAAAGCTAATGGGGAGCATATAACAGCTTCTAAGCATAGTTTGGTTCCAAAATTGGAATCTCAGTGTAGTTTGCCCAATATATAAGAAGGGTTTATGCGCCAACTGCCAACAATGTCAAGACAAGGTATCTCCTGGCAAATCAAAAAAGTCTTCGTGTGTTTCGGCACACGTAACCTATTATCCAGCATAAACACAAACAACAATACCCTAAGGCGGCCGCCCCACAAACGGCTTGCTCTCGCGGCAGTCTTTGTGTTTAAAAAATAAGTGGTGCGTGGATCCTTTATTAACTTTATGAGCAGTTTTCTGCATATTAATGAATGATTATGCTGATCTTGATCCTAATCCAAATCTTAGGCTCAATATCAATATCATCCTTAAACTTAATGTTAATCCTATTCTTATAATCCTAAACTTAATGTTAATCTTAACCTTAATAGCTCTCTGAATCTAAATCTAAATCTTAATCTAAATCAAAATCTTAAACTGAATCTTAATTTTCATCCAAATCTAAATCTTAATCTTAATCTTCATGTAAACCTTAATATTCATCAAAATCGAAATCTTAATCCACTTCTAAATTTAAATATAAATATGAATCTTAATCCTTATCTTAATCTAAATTTCCATCTTAATCTAAATCCAAACCTAAATCTAAATCCAAATGTAAATCTTAATTCACATCTAATCAAAATATAATACTAAATCTTAAACCGGATTTGCATCTATCTAATTTTAAATCTCAATCTTATTCTTAATCTCAATCTCAATCTTAATCTAGATCTTAGTCTTAGTCTTAATTTTAATCATGTCCAACAACCCCAGCTATTCCCCTCTTCTGCTGTCGCTTTTTTATTTCAATGCAATTTATATTCAATTACAGATTACTACACAACAAACAGCTACTTTTATTATTTAATTATTAATTTTATCATATTCCCACAATGCTAATTAAACACTTCTTTTAATATCCTTGCGTGACCCAAAATATTTGGTAACTGCCACAAAAATTAAAACCTCACAAAAAATAAGCACATTAAAATGCTTTAATTTTTCCAAGCTATTGCTTTTCTTTCCTGGTAATCACAGAAAACACGGTGGCACTTATCGGGCGACATAAAATTAACATAATCAACTCTTATCGCTAGCAACGGCATTAAAATATGTAGATGGCATGGCATTCATATCGAATGACTACACGCGAGGTGTTTAAAAGTAAAAAAGGAAAATACAAATGAATTTCATTTGCGATATTACTTAAACATGCAAGTTTTCACACAGCTAGTCGAAAATTTACAAAACAAAAAAAAAAACGAACGTGTTAGAAAAATTGCTAATGTCACTAAGTTTTTGCAAATATGTACATATGTACGAGAATGAGGAAAAAGTTTGCTAGTGTGACAATAATTATTATCACTTTCAGACCGTGTGCGAAAAAGCTGATGAACTAACGCTAACAAGCAAACAACATTTGTGTTTAAAACAAAACTTTGCACAAAAAGTTCGCAAATCATTTTAAATAATTTACACAAATTTATGTGCTTTCGGTTGCAGGCAAGAAGACCGCAATAACAGCGGTAAAATGAATGAGCCACAAAACGTTGGCGGTGGGTAGATGATAGGGTGCTTGCGTGTTTGTACGTGTTTGTGTGCATGTGTGCATTCACACTGCTGACTACTCGTAAATTTTGTAAAACTGTCAACTACGAAAAAGTGAAATGCAAACAAATTGCATCGTAAAATCTATGGCACCAGTGGAAAAAAAGATAAAATGGCGAGTGTGCGGCCGTTAAGAAACACCAGGGAAGTGACAGCTGAACTGAGCTGAGAAAACCAAATATATGTGCACATATGAGCTTTTTCACATTGCTCCTTAATGTGGACTATGCACATATGTATGTATGTACGTTTGCTGAGTAAACAAATTTTTTTCTAAAGCAAATGTCCGTCAAAATTGTACGCTCCGCTCTCTTGACTTCCTGTTCATAATTCTGTTCCGTTCTGGGATAAAAATTTAATTTTTTTTTTAATTTTTATTGAGCACTTATCGCAGTAATTTAAAAATATTCAGCCTTATCATGAGTTTTTCATTTTCCCCGAACCGGTTCACTTTTCACTTTTTCTTTCCGTGTATTTACTATGGGCGGATGAAAAATTTTCGGGTGAATTTTTTTCGGGCGAAACTTGTTTTAAATATTTTTGTGATGCCATGCACATACATTTTATTTTTAATTAATCACATTTTATTAATAATGCGCATCAGAATCGAGGACAGTTTATTCAACCGCGCCGCTGGAGTTGCTCCTTGGATGGACTCCGTTTCATGTTTTTAGTTCCCGAAAATCCAGGGATTTTTGGCAATAATAGAAACTCCTTTTCTTGACCAGTATTGGCTATATTTATTTGTTTATCTAATAATTAAAATTTTTTCATAAATGTCTAGCTCATTATACATATTACACCGTGCGATAGTAAATTTTACACACAGAAATCAATATTTTCGTGAAACAATGAGCCAAATATTGTGAAATTGCATTTTTAGTTTTCCACCCTGACGTAAGCAATTCGAAAATAATTTATAAAATACAGTGAAATGTGCTTAGAGAAGAAGTATGGGTATCAAGTTAAAGAGGAAATTATGTAGAATTTAATCAGATTCCACTTTTTTATGCACAGGTATTAAATGTCCTTGTTTTTGAAAAAATTATATGTTAAGGACTTATATAAACCCGATAACTTGCTCGAATTTCGTCCTTTTAACTTTATCAGCTTAAAAGGTTACCTATTCGTCATTGTGAATCCAAAAAATTTCATTTTTTTTAATTCTAAAAAATTTCCTTCATTCTTTCCTTCCTACAATGCATTGAATTTTTTAAATAATTTTTGGAATTAATCATATATTTGAAATTACAAAGTCCTTTAAAATAAATCCTGACGTCAGAGAGAAGAAATAAAAACGCCACTTTAAATAAAAAAGTTTTGAAACCTACTTTTTTATTTATTTTATGGTAGGAGAGCTTCTCAAACAATTTAGAAACAATTTTTTCGATTTAAGTTGTTGAAAAGTAATGAATACCTAAATCCCGAGATTGTGATAACGGCATCCCGAAAATCCCGGCATTGTAAAAAGCCAAAAAATTAACATCCCTAGTTAGCGTATATGTAGTTGTCTCTTTTCAATTAAATATTATTAAATAACGCTAAAGTGCAAATGTGTTGGTTTTTATTTACAATTTTTTAAGTGTATTGGAGAATGCGTTTGGTCGTTTCTGCTGGGGTATGAGCGAACTCGGCATGTATTGCATGGCTTTAGGCGCAATTTGCGCTATTCACCTCAAAATGCAATACGAATGCATACACTAACATACACACGTATGTACATACAGACAGGTGCTAGTGTACACAAATGTGCGCTGAAATATTTATTGCAATAGTTATTGTAGGCATGTGTGAAAACTTGTGTTTTATAAATTAGTTGTTAGCAGCATGTCTGGGAAATTGACGGCAACTGATAATTAGTCTAGGCAGAGGTATCGTATTTCGTTTAGTTTTGCTTTTCATTTATAACTACAGTGCTATAATTTGCAGGTGGATGTCAGCTAATTTTTGATATATTGCCATCAGAGGCACTACACATTTTTATATGTATGTGTATAAGAATTTTTGCTTACTGCATATTCGAATATGTTAATATACGTGTATTTTCTTTTTGGAACTAAAGTAGTTAGTTTATAACTAGAGCTATATAAAAGCAAAGTCTATACCAATTTTCCTTATATTTAGTTATTTTCAGCCCTATTTTTAGCACAAAACCCTGAGCTCGGGCTATAAGTTATAACTTGTCATATTTTATTTTTCTACTCACCAGAATGGCTTGCTTCCCGTATGAGATCGTGTATGATTTCGTCTCGCACATTTATGCCAAGATTTTTTAACATAAATTGCAGCTCATTTGCTGTCACGCGACCATCACGATTTCTGTCCAAGAGATCGAATGCTGTTCGCAGATCTGAAAGGAAAAGAGGAAAATATTGTAAGTGAATTTTAAGTATAACTAAGCGCAAATCAGTTAAATTTTTTTTAATAAATAAATTAAAAAGTGTATAGTATCGTTAGAGTCCGTGTACATATAATAATTCTACAGAAAACATAAAACCTTTAAAAACAAATACACCCATTTCATAAAACTGGCTTAAATTAAGTTTTTTCGAGATAACCTCACTTTCGAAGGCTTTCGAATTATTGAAGTGATAGTGTTTACACACCCTAATAGCACCAGGGATATTTTTTTTGTGATGCCCTACAATCGATTTGGTGATTACTTGGGTGATTCAATTATCTCTCAAGGAACAAAAATCGGATTCAAAAGATTTTTATATTACTTCTTCTTCTTCTTCTTCTTGATTGACGCTGTAACCGCTTAAGCGATTTTGACCGAGGCCAATAAAATAACTTCAGTCGTTATATTCCTTGATAACTGAAGCCAATTGGAAATGCCAGAGGAAGCGGGTACCACGTCGAAAACTTTCAGGACTGGAGCGTTTGAGTCCGCTCGTACGACTTGGCCTAGCCATAGCAGTCGCTGTATTTTGATTCGTATCGTTCCATTGTTTTCCATAGAATAGTTCTTTTGAATAATCTAAGGGTCGCCTCATAGTCCAGACTTTTGCACCATACGGGCGGTACAGCATTATGAGTGACTTATAGAATGTGATTTTCGTTCCTGACTGCTTTTGTGATGACAGCCGATACTTCGATTTGTTTTTGTTCACCATCAGACCCGCGAGTTTTGCTTCTCTATCTAACTTCGAGCAGACCGGTGATACCGAGCGGTTAAGCTCTGAAGCTCTTATTAAGTATACTCCCCCACATCAGATTAAAGAAATCACACGACAGGGAGTGCAACTGTCTGAAGCCTGCAATTCTTCCAAACGGCTTGGAGGGGTCCTTCCCAATTCTCACGCAGCTGCGGATTTTACTAAAGTCAAGTATTAGTTTCGCAGGAACTCTAAATTCTAACACTAAATGCTTTAGCCGAAGCTCAGAAGGCTGATTCGAGGGTATTTGTAACATACGACGGGGTTTCCCTTTTTGTGGATTGCTCAGAGTGAGCTTAGATTCCAATCAGCTGGCATCCTTACGTCATACTATATCCTGCCAACTAGATTCTGGCCTTGAATAGCTCAGCTCGCAATTATCCAGAAGGTTTGTTATTTTCGGATCGTGCTATTGCAATTCGTATCTCGTCGTGATCAGAAAACGGAAGATCATTTTGCCATAAAAAAAATTTCTGCGCGTTTTTACTCTTCGCATTTGCGTATTTCAGTCTCTTTCTTCTTACTTCTTTTGCGTAATATTGCGATATGATTATTTAATCAATTTTAGTTGCCAAGCAATGTGAAAATTACTTGAAAACACCAGCCAGTAGGTTGTGTCGATCTGGCACATATATAGCAGGCGGTATGCCTTTGTTGACTGACCCATCCGATGCAGGGCGCGAACCCTCACAGCTACGCTAATCTTAACCTCACTCATTTACCGATATGGGTGTGAAAAATCCTCTAGCTTTAATTACAGTTTGACCACCTAAATAGATTACTCGATTCGCTGTTAAGTCGTAAACGGCCTTTCCAGAATACCTATTCAATATTTAATTTTTTGCTACATTTCATTAGGCATCCGTGGCTACAACTCGGTGGGATAGGAAGGCGAATATGTATCATATCATCAACAGTGAATCTTCATTACATCTATTATTATTTACAGTCATCTACATTTA